GGTCAGCTCGCCAAGGCCCTTGATATTGTCCACTGAGCTTTCCAAAAAAGCAATACCTCGCAGAGTGCGCAGAGATTTCAAGCCACTAATCCCGTCAGGCAACACGACACCATCTAAATAACTAATATGTGACAACCGCGGCAAAGTAAAAATATCTGATGGGAGAAATGCCAGTTCATTTAACCCTTCAACTTGTAATGTCTCCAATTGTTGTAGCTCGCCAATTTGTCTAGGTAGCGTCAAACCTTTCTTGCAATAAATCTTTAGATACCTTAGTAGAAATAATGCACGGATACCAGTGAGGTCTAGACTCTGGCCTCTTTCACCTTCAAGCTGAAGAACTCGGATATACTTCAGCGCCAGAAAAGAAGGCACAAGACACCCTCTGAAAAGTAAGACTAATCGAACATGCGATAGTGATCCATCATTGATTGCTGCCAGTATTCCGCCATCTTCTTCGCCATCATAGTAAATGGCCACTCGACAGACCCTTTTGTGTTCCCCTCTAACAACTTTTGGCCCATCTATTAAAAGATTGAAATTCTCTTCCGTGGCCTTGGATCTGATAAGGTCAAGCATTATATCATGCACTCTGCAAGACAACACCTCATCGAAGTCCATCTTGCCAGGTTGGATCATGCTCATGTTGATGAGTTCATAGAAGTAGTCTTCTGCGACATCCTCTGCATCACGCACACGAGTTGCACTCACAAAACCTTGAGCTGTCCATTGCCTCAACATATCCTCCTTCTCTATCTCCTGGTCCTCTGGGTACTTCCCAATATCAAGAAGGCATGTCTTAAGATGATGAGGGAGATGCATGTAGCTAAGATCCAATATTTGCTTCATATCTTTAAGATCATCATGATTTTCTTCAAACACAGACACCAAAGAATTCCTTATAGAATCCCATCCTGGCCTTTGGTTATGTGCGAGAAGACTTGCTATACTAATAATAGCAAGGGGCAAGCCACCACATTTTTTCAGAATATCATTTGAAATATCTTCTGGTACTTTAGGGGAACCAAACATTCTACAAACAAATAGGTTTTTCGAGTCTTGGCCATTTAGTGGTTTCATCTCATGAACATATCCTCTGCTGTGTTTGTAACAGTCATCCGCAACAGAGCGAATCCTTGTAGTTGTCACCACACAACTGCCACAATCGTCATTTGGAAGAGCACATTTAATAAGATTCCATGCTGGGGAATCCCATATATCATCGATTACTATGAAGTACCTGCAAATAAAGTCACACATGTAAAATAAAAAGCATAGCCCTAACGTGTGTGTCTTTTAGCTCCTATTGAAAAAAGTATGTTGAAACGTACAAAATTGTGTCATCCACGTGTATCCACGCCACATTACTCGCGCTACGCACCCACTTTGCAGGGTTATTTTAATCTATATTTGTACTGCTTGTACATACAACTATAGTGCAGCAAGGGGAACGTTAATTAATCTGTATGCGCATCCAACGGTTAATTAAACTCAGCTGTTGATGACTTTCAGCCAACGGCCAAGGCAAGATACTGGTGCAGGTCTTTTCTTCAGCGCCTTCGCAAGCTGTATAGCCTGCTACTCTCCGCTGGGGATCGTATAGCCTGCTACTCTCGTAGCTCCTCAGTCTCTAGGCAACATGGGACAAATATCAAATCAACTCAGAAAATCCCAAAGTTTTCATGAGTTCATATTTATATGAAAACCCAAATAAATTACACTAACCTAACTTTTTAAAAAATTGTGGATAAACATTTGATCTATTCATCTTCAATCATGGTAGTACAACGAACAACAGAAATACTAAAAATTACATCCAGATTTATAGACCACCTAGCAATGACTACAAGCATTGAAGCGAGTTGAAGGAGCGCCACCGTCATCGCCCCTCTCTCATCGGAGCCGGGCAAAATGTTGTAGTAGACAGTCAGGAAGTCGTCGTGCTAAAGCCGCATAGGACTAGTACACCAAAACAGCAATTGTCGCGATGAAGAGTAGTGTAGATTGTAAGAATCCAACCTGAAGGCATATGAACATAGACAAACGACAAACAGATCCTAGCAAATCTACCAAAAGAAGATCCATCGGAGGCTGACCTCCACAAGCCCATCGAAGCTGCTAGATGCAGTACTGAAACGGGGGCTAAATGGGAAGAACTTTATTTCTTCTGCAGGGGGCCACCGTTCTCTTGCCTTACTGGGCAGGACACAAACCTTGACAAAACTCAAAAACGGATCTAAAAACGAAGCCCTCCCACCAGAAAGGGTCAGGATTGACCGCGCCCCCCATGGCCCTAAGTCCACGGGAGATGAGGTGGACCGACAGCGACACTCGCAGGAGGCGGAGGAACTCTAATTTTTTAGTGGAGGAGGCGGCTACTTGAGCCCTGTTGTTCTTCCACTGGAGGGGAAAAGACGTGGGACAGAGCGTTTAGTGTAACAACTTTTAATTTTGTTTCTATGAATTGTATAGAATCACGCTTATTACAAGAATCGAAAACCAAATGAATCCAATAGAACATTTTAAATGTACGTTCAAATTTCATGGCTCAAATTTGAATTTTTAATTTAATTCATTTTTAATATTCACATAAGCTTTGTTTTGAATGGAACAAGAAATAAAAATGAACAAGCTGAATTTAATTAGCATTTTTAGGCAAATTTAATTAGCATCTTTACTGGAAATTAGCATGTGGGCCTCCGGACCGAATAATCACGAGTGGACATGCCACCACGCGCGGTCGGTATCCACACCACATGCTGCCGCGAGATTGGTGCAACTTTAATATCCTCTGGCCGTATAATGATTTCCCCTCATTGTATAGCAAATGGTATAGCCGCGTATTTGCAGTTGACACATGCAATGCATGGCCCGCGAGGCAGCACACCCATTGAACTGGGTTGTGTAGGATGCTCCCCCTGGCCTTTTTAAGCAACCCGAGTGCTTGTAAATGTCCATCCCGCTCAAGTTTTCATCTTAGCTCTCCTTCTCCCAGCCTCGCAAGCATGTGTTCATCCAAGTTCCAGCTTAGCTCCGCACCCCCTGCATCACACCACACCTCCAACCAGATGCCACCGCTCCCTCTAATTTGTTGTCCAGAGTGCAACGTCGGCTACATGGTGTGGTTCATCTCTGGAACGGAAGAAAAACCAGGGAGACATTTCTACAAGTGTGAACGTCATGGAGCAAGTTTTTAAGATCCTTTCCATTCATCTTCCCAAACTCCTCGCTCAACCAATGTTTTTTGTGTTTTCTAGTTTGGTGGATGCAAATTTTAGAAGTGATAGAACAAGTACATACGTACTTCAACACCCGTTGGGGACATCTAATTTCACATGCATCGGTGTGTCGGCACGTAACACTGCTTGAGCAGAATCAAGCATGGCTGAAGAACATTTTCAACTTGGCGTTGCGAACATGCTGCTTATGGCCATGACCTGCATGCACAAGTTCTGAAGCTACCCCCTCGTGTGATGGATATGTTCTTGTTCCAATGCGTACCTCGCGAGATTGATTAGTTGTTGTTCCTCTATGCACCAGATCTGGTCATGGATTCATTCTAGTCCCCTTTTGTATTTTTCTTATCCGTCTACTCCATGTAATGCATGTGTCCGCCAGTCCCAGTTGCGACATATGTACGCATCCGGCTGGCCTATCTACAATACATGTCCATCATTTGCGAGCATTGAGAATTAAGTCCAACTAATCACGCGAGATGATGCAAATTTGTTTAAACCACGACCAGACGCAGGGAGGGCATTTAATCCCACGTGGTGCGTGTGCAACACACCCAGGCCAACGGCAATAATTCGTCACTCGGGCAGCCCACATGCGATGGACTAAATAAAGACACAGCAGAGGAACGAATGCACCCAGCTGCCCCTGCAAAACGTAAATGCACCCAGCAAGCTGGTGCTGCGGGACACCGGATTACAAATTAATCAAGGTTTCTGGCAATATCTAACCATGTTAATATCCTGACAAAGACTGGCTGCACACAGAAACATCAGCAAGCAGATAAATAACGTGTGCGAGCCACACGCCACCTGCCATAAAATTTCCATATGCTGTCAACATTCGTTTAAATGTCTGACACTCACACTGTAAATGCATGGCAGGCAATCAAGGAACCCAGGAAAGATTAAAATCATCATTTATCATGGAGGGCTACTCACTCGAGAGGGTGGAACTTCAAGGCGTCCTTATAAGCTAAGCTTCCTCGTCTCTCATCAGCCCACGAGCACCACACGCAGCTTTGAAACCAAAAACAACTGAATCTGTTGTTAAATCTGAATAAACCTGCATCACTCACGATCCCTAGACCAGCCCAAACCAAAACTATCCACCAAAACCTCCGACATGCTAATATGACTAATCAAAAAGATGAAACTTTACTCAGGACTAATTCCTATGCCAACGATCTAAATCAAAGGATCGAATTGAGTTCGAAGCTCTGTACTTCCATTCCTGCTGAACCCATCTCCCTCGCTCTCCTGCTTTTCACAGCCTGCAACTTGAAGAAGGGCTGCATAACTGACCACGTGAAAGATCAAGGCTCACTGCACACAATTATGAGACCACCTGACAAATAGGGCAGCAGACTACCGGACAAATTTCGTATGGATACCACGAACTTAAAGCCGCTAGGCCCACTCATGTCTCGTATAAGGCTGCGTATTCATATGGGTTGTTCATTAATGTGCGTCGTATTGCATAAATACCTATATTAAGTAGTAATCTTGATGCACAAATGGATGGCCAGGATTACGGCATCGCGTGGCACCATGTCCCAAAAATTCACGTCCGCCTCCGGACCTCCAATAGCCTGCCTTAACTAGTGCGTCGTGGCAATATTGCCTAAGATACTTTGGTATATTGATCGTTGGATTGGGTTCATATATAAAAGAGTTCGATGCTACATCCTTGCAAAATAGCACAAAGTACTGGAATAGCATCGCCAAGAAAATACTGCACTAGGAGGGTCTTCGAGTTTATGTAAATTAATTAATTAAGTACTGTAATTTAAACAATCCTCGGATTTTGTCAAGGGTTGATGGGGCATACCTCATGTTCTTGAGCAATCCTCGGATTTTGTTGATGAGCTGCATTTCGTTTAAGTTTTCTGCATTCGATTCTTTGCTAAGTCCATGGAGAATTGCCTCAAAAACATTTTTCAAATTAGGATTACGACCCACTGGAACAAAAGCCTTAGGACCAAACTGGGATTGAAGCTGGTTATACACCGCCTTGGCAAGTGTTGTCTTGCCCAATCCTGCAAATCCAACGATAGAGACTATCTTGAGTTGCTGTTTTGACACGTCCATAGCCCCATCCTTATCAGAAAGCCACTGGATTAGCACATTACTTGGCTCTTTGATGCCAACAAGTTCTTTCTGATCTTTGTATATAGCCGAAATGCGAGGGTCGATGGTAATTTTGGAAGCTACATTAGCCATTGTTTCATCAACCTTCCACCTTTTACGTCTTTCAGCCACAACCTCAACTTGTTTCTTGATATCTTTGACAGCATCTTCAATTGGATTGTGAGTCTTGCCCCACTTGAAGTGGTTGAACATGTTCTCAATGAGCCCCCTGAAGAAGCTTGTGTTAGATGGAGGCTCATCGTGTACCAGGAAACCATCAACAACATCCTCAATGTCATATGACATCTCCCTGACAGTGTCAACCCAGTGCATGACATCATCGTCAAGGTTGTGCCGATGTACCCCCGACACCTTCCGGATGGCTAGCTGCATATCCCTCAGCTCTTCTGATAGAAAATCTATTTCTTCCTTCATGCTTTTCTCTAGATTGTACTCTTCCTTGAGGAGATCGTCAAGCTTATGGTGTAGGCTGCCCATGGCCCCAGTTACAAGATCCACGGCTCTGTCGCTCATGTTGGTCTGCTGATTACACAAAAGTCTAGGAGTTGTGAGGAAACTAAGACGCTCTGGTTGCTTGATACATTGTCCTCGTGCATATTTGTAGCTGATAGAATTTATCTCCTTGCATGCAGAATAATGAAATATTTAGATTAAATAAATTCATTTCAGCAATAATGCTAGTTAAATTGTTTGACTAAGCTCACCATGTGAATGGCCTCTGCTTCGTGAGTTGTGTTAACGCCAGGTTTGTCCGTGCTCAAAGCAGATTCAATCATCGATTTTTGTTTCTTCTGGCAACATACACACTTTGTCAAGGAAGGAAACATGGACAAAAATAGAGAACACACATATACAACAGTCAAACAAGTCACCTTGGTATCTTCACGAATCTTGAGATCTTCCTTAGGTCCCTCATTCTCATATACTACAACCGTCAAATTTACCTCATCCACTTCAACTGGCTCTTTTTGGAACATGTATTTGGTGATATCCTCGGCCCTAAAATCCCCATTGACTTTTGTGCTTTGCACTATAAAATTGTCGGAGTACGGCAGATCGTGCGGTGTAGTCTCTTGTATTTCCAGTGCTATCTGGATAGTATCCTCGGATTGTGGTGACAGAATGCCTTTGTTTGGTTCTGTACGGTACTGCTTGCCTGGCGTTTCGATATTGAAAGCATAGTAATTCTTTGTCTTGTTGATTGGCATTACCATGGATGACATCTGCTTTTGAAGCTCGAAAGGAAACCTTAGTTCGAGCGGGTTGATTCCAAGCATGTCATCATCCATGCAAAGGCTGATCTGCGAAAGAAAAGCTAGATGCCTTTTATATTGTCTCCTGGGCAAATATTATAAGTTATAATATAGTATTTATTTTGTGAAGCCTATGTATTGTTTGTGGGTCAAACCCTGTCTCCAGGCACAGAAATAAGCACATTGTCAGTACTAAACAAATATCCATCAGAGTCAATAG